GGTCTCGGCGGCGGGGCTGAGCCGGTCCGTTTGGCACCGGCCCCGTCCACTGCCATGGACGGTGGCCGGAGTTTCGAAGAGAGAGAGGAGGGAGCTGCTGTCGGGGAGAGAGAGACGCGCGGGGGAGAGAGAGAGAGTGACGGGGGCAATTCCGTCTTTTAACCAAAAACCCACTTCAAAATATTTACGATTATGCCACTGAGCTTCATTTGACCATATCTCTCTCGTTACAACTCCGATTCGAGCCCACTACGTGTCTACGGACTCATCTCACCGTGCTCTACGCAACGGTACAACCGGAATTCCCAAATTCCTTCCGGGTAAGAAAATGACCAAAATACCCTTATCCCACGGGTAATTTTTCAATTCCACTTAAATTAATTAAACATTGAATAAATTTGGGGTCGGGGTGTTACATAATATATTTGAAACTTTGCAAAAATGGCTGTATTAATTTCTCTATAGATTGTATTAATTTGAAAAATGAGTATATGTTTTTTTTTCTTCTTCATTTTCTCCGACATGAAGATATTAACAAGACATGTAATTGAAGTTCCCTGTTTTTTTAAAGGTTTTTTAGGTTTTAGACATAAAAAAAATTTCACTTTTGGAAAAAGCCAAAGCTTTTTCAAAAAAGACAAAAAAATCACTCAACTTTCAAATGAAAGACATGCAAATGTATTGGATTCAGGGAGCATTTTTGCTCACCAGCAATGCCTAATGCTGATGACAAGGAGGAAGGTGGGGGTGGTGGGTCGTTGATGGGTGCTGGGTTTGCTTTTTTGTGTTTTATTTATTTTAGTTTTGAGTTTTAAATTTTTAAAATTTTATTGGAATGGAAAAGTTTCACTTTAGGTTGTTAACAAATATTTTCATTATTTTATGGTTTGGGGTTTTTTTTTTCTTCCAATTTTTTCAAAATTTAAATTTTACAAAATTTTGCTTTAATTTTAAATGATTTATTAATATTTTAGTTGAAATGAATTGCTTTAACCCTTATGTGGCATGTTTATTTATAAAGAATGGCCAAAATGTGAGGAACGACTCAATTGGAACGAATGAGAAAGTTGGATAATCTTGGAAATGTTGTAGTTTTCTAACTAATTAATAAAAAATTTAACTTGCTATTTGGGATTTCATTTTCAATTTTACAATCTTTCTTCTCGTAGTAGTAGTACAGGACCCGCCCCAGAATTTCCCCTGAACCCGAGACGGATCCCGTCTTGGTGCCGACATCATACTGATGCCGGGCCCACTTACTAAAACCCAAGACATCCTACCAAAATTTTGGCAGAGTCTCCCCTGTAAAATGCCCAAACCAACAATAAACAACCTGCAAAATTTACATCAATATACAACCCAACTGCCAGCATGCTTTTACATACTACAATCCAACACAAAATGGCCTCCGACCTCAAGTAGTAGCCTAACATGGGCAATAACAGAGCGTCTACAGAATTTGTTTACAACAAACAGAGGAGTAGAAAGAACTTATACAGACCCTATCAACAGACGACAAGTTCGGAGCTCGTGACTTGCTTGAATGCCTTCAGGAGCAACTACTGTCTGTGGGGCGCAAAACAGAAAGATGTGAGTGGACAGAAATAAAGTTTCACTTTAAATCAACATAGTAACCCCACCATGTAAAAATAATGCTCTAGCATGCAGTTTCACAATTCAGAAACCAAAACTCAAACACAAAAATCCCAAGTCCAAAACATCTCCACATCTCAAGCTCA